TGCGAATTCACGCACCGTGCCGTATCAGCCGGTCTGGTGCCATATACCGGGTGCAGTGAACCTTCTCAGACCGTGACAGATGAATATAAACTTAAACCTGGCCGAAATTATGCGTTCGCGTCTATAATTAACTTCCTTCCCGGCCACTGGTCTCCGTTCCTCTTCTCGCTCCCGTTCTATAAAAGTGGTCCCAGCTTCCGAGAACCGTTCGCGACCCCGTTGGTTCGATACGCTCGCGAAATAATCGACGGATTCGTTGGGAATTGGGTCAACGGCGCTCTCGATCGGGCGTTATAATATTTTTAAGTACTTCGTAGGTACGTTCGAACGAAACGTGTGTAAATGCGTTCGAAGAGGGGTCTATCGACGTCACTTGTTCGACGATAATCACTTGGAGACTTTTAAAACATTTTCGCTACTGTTCCACGACGGATCGGAACGGTCGTGAGAACTTCATACGTGCACGACGATCAGTATCATTTAGCGGAACGTGATTAACGCCGGGGCGATGATTTCACGTGTTCGTTCACACTTCCGCAGAACTCGAAAGCCCCCGGCGTGTTCGATTGAACGAGGTATCCGCGGAGAAAGGGAAAAATCCTCGGATGAAAGACGCGCGCGTGTGCGCGAAATGCATTATACCGAGCGATCGATCCCCGTGTTGCATATTCAAAACGGCGGCTCGTAAGGGAACGCGAGCCGCATTGTTAACGGCCGCGCAAAGTGCTGTGCTCTCGGTAAACATATCGCGGGACGGCGGCGGCGGTGGCGGAGAGAGGAAAAGAAAGGAGTACTGGGTCACGACGACGACGACGCCGCTCTTTTTTAATCAGGCCGCTCGAGTATATTATTCCCATCGTAATTTCCACGCGGACGTTAATGCGTTCGGGTGCATCAGCGCAACGATTTCCCGGCTCTCGGAGGCGCTCCCCGGGGGAAACGGGTTGCCAGGAAAATTCGAGCGAGCCAACGCCGGTGAAAAATCCCGAGCGCGACGAAATTTGTGGCCGATTTTTACCACCGAGGCTGGTAAGTGGAAACGCGCGAGTAAATTGGATGGATTTTATACGTATAAATGGAAGTGGCGTCTGGCTGGAAAAAGTCGCATTTTTTAAGGGAAACGTTAACGCTGGTAGACAGTATAATTCCTGGGACGGCGTAACGACAGCGACAATTAACCGGCGCGCGGAGAAAAACTGAAAATTAAGGAAAAATATCGTGGTAAACAACGTTAAGTCCGGGCGAGCCGGAAACGCTAATTTCCTCGCGGATCACGCGGACCATTAAACGCGATACCCGAACCGGAACCGGGGACCTAGAAACGCGGCCCGGGCCGGGCCGGGTGGTCCGCGTTTCAAATGCAAATGGGAAACACGCCCTAGCCGGCGAAGCTCACCACTTTTCAGAGGCGCTGGCAGGAAAGTTTCGTGTTCGATAAAGAGCCGAGGAGCAATTTAGCGGGTCACACTGCACCGCTGCACGCCGCCGGGAAGGGAAATAACGCCGGAATACAAATTATACGTGAAACAGAATTTCACACTTTGCGACGAGTTCACGTCGGAATCGCGGCCAGAACTTGTAAACTTTCGTGCTACGTTCCGGTTTCGAGTTTACGCGGAGAACTTCTTTTTATGGGAGAACCCACGACCAGCATGGAAATCCTTTTCCTCTTGTTAGCTTTACAGCTTGTTTCCACCGTTGCGGATTGGTATTATGAATTACTTTTATGAACGACGCGATTCAATAACGCAGAGCAGGCATGTCAAACGCGCGGCCCGCGGACCACACGTGGCCCGTCGAGACATTTTAAATTTTTTTTGGAAAAAAATATTAATTAACTGTTTTAAAGTAAATTTGATTTTTATTTGTATGCAATTCAGTAGCTGTATCTATCGATATTGAAATTATTGATGAAAACATATAAATGGAATTAATTTAAATTCAATGTGATTCTTTGCTGAAGCAAAAATGTATGGAAGTTGGAATTCCAGATTTCTATACATATTTATCTGTAGATCGGTTTCCTAAAATGTTATCGTTTGTTACGCGTATACTGGCTATGTTCGGAAACACGTATTTATGCGAGCAACTATTTTCTTTAATGAGAAATAATAAAAATTCAGGAAGGTCAAGATTAACCTGTCATCCCTGGTCATTCTAAAAATCGTATTTTATTAATTTTTTGAACATTGAAAACATGCGGCTTTCAACTTAATACAAAGTAGATCATGTGGCTCGTAATATCATATGAGTTTGACATGCCTGACGTAGAGGAACGTAATCACGGTACTTTCTTCTTTATGATGCGTGTAATGAGAACAGAGGACTGTAGCTAATTGCAGAAGATGGAAATTCTATTCAGACAAAATCTCTGATGATCACTGTTGCGTCAATGACTGTCACATCAATGACTGTCACCGACAATTGAAAACGCAATTAACAAAGGGTAGGTAGCTCTGCATCGAATTCCCTGTAGCGATTCGCGAGAGAAACGGGAATTTTTCCCTACCATCGTGTGGCCCGATTCGACACGGCTACGTCGTCGTTGGAAAAATAGAGGAATGCAAATTTAATTACCGGAGTACTCGGAACGTACGACGAGCAGCCGAGAGGCGTACGTATGTATACATTCTCACAAATACGCGCGCGGAGGTACGGGACGACCCGTGAGGTTTCGCGAATTTTACATTAAATTAATATCGTCATATTTCCCGCACCGGATTTTCGCGAGACATTCGTAACGCGGTTAGCAATGTAAACGGCGTTAACGCCGTACGAAATGGCAAAGCGATTCGCGTTGATCGACATTGCACGGTGCCGTTATAACTGAATAAATTAGCTCCTTTTACACCAGGCTTTGGTTTTTCGCTTGCGGATCTAATTATTCTCTCACCGTTCCATTCCGCTCCAGGTGCCATGCAAATACTGCGTGATAAAACGTGCTAAATAGACGGATTAGCAACGCTTTTTTAATGAGAACGAGAACCGTTTCCATATCGTGCAACGGGTACATGACTTTCGATGCGAGTTTCGTCACGGTCAGGATCGCGGCAGGAAAGGACGGGGAAAAAAGAAATTGAGGCAACGGGATTTGATTTTCCATGTGCGTGAACTCACACGCCGCGCGAGTATTATGCGTGCCTCGACATCGCCCATAATGGATTAACCCCCTTTGGCTGAGCCACCTATACAGAACCGTGTATTCCCATTGAGATTCTCTGTCGCCCGGAAGAAAATGTCATCCATCACAGCGGCCGCCGCTTCGAAACTATTCGTTCCGTGTGCACGAAAAAGAATCTGACAGGCGAACGGACGGATCCAGTGCTCGGCGTAAGCCGATTTCACAGCAGAAAGAAGCATTTGTATCCGTTTTCGAATACGTACAGCCGCTGCGAAATGAGATCGCGTATATACGTATTTCACGAGCTGCAAATAGTGCTGCTTAGATTTAGAGAGGAATATGTGAACGACAATCGTTGCGTAATTTGAACTCTGAAACTTTCTGTCCAGCTTCGTTCAATTGTGACAAGCCGATCGTCGTATCCATATTTTAATTCGCCAGACTCATAAGAATCAAAGGGCGAGTTTCACGAAGGAAGAACAGAAGGAATGATTCATTGGGTTACCACTCAGCAGCTCAACAAACACGTTGGCTCGGAAAAGGGGTAACAAATCAGGGGTGAAACAGCGGGTAGTATCTCCTGATTTTGCATTTTTCATTCGATCCCTTGTTCCCTTTCTCCAAAACGCATTAACACGCGAGGAATCACGACGCCGCTCCTTCATTTCGAACACCGCGATGGAGCATAATAATTCGAAGTGAACGACACAGACAGGAGTTTTTGCTTAGCGAGGAAAAGGATAGTTCTTCGTTTCAAATTTTCATACCCCATTTACCCCTCGGGACACCGGGACCCTCGATTCGTAAACTTCCGTGAAACAAAACCGAACTCCGACTTCGCGGAAAGCATTAATTATTGTTATTCTCACTTGAACGAGTTCAATTTTTATAAATTTTAGCTGAATCACGTGTCGAGAATTCTGACCGAAGATCAAGAACTGCATTCTCAGATGGCAGGATGTCAGGGAATCGAATAGTTCCAATCGTCCGACCAATCACTGACTCATACTACTTGCTTCTCGCTTCAGGTGGGAATAAATCCTTCCTCCCGAAAATATTTTATCCGTTCTCGAAAAGGCCAGTTTTCCAAACGAGAGATCTGCTCCGATTAGCTGCGAAAAGCGGATTTTCCAATTGAACGATCGCGAAAAATGGATTAAACCGGTGAATTAAAGCCCGAAGATAGCTCGACAAAGGCCACGAATAACGGTATTGTTCCTTCTGACTGAGCATCGAGCGATTGGAAGCCGCGGTCATCGCGAAACTAATTACAAGCCGCGCATTTAATTACGTTAATTTCGGAATCACCGCGGAGATACATACGAGATTCGTCGGGCTTTCGTGTTTATACGATTCGTTAATTGCAGCCGCGTTTCACTGTTTCTGTTCCTTTCAATTTTTATCACTTTCGAGATACGGCGGAGCGGCGTTCGACGAATGCCCGTGAGCGAAGGGGAAAACGGTGGAACAGGGAAAAATGAAGATAGAGGAGGGCGACGAAGCGAGAACGAGTGCTGGCCCGGAGCTTTGTTTCATTTTCGCGGAATATTTATTCGGTGTATCGAGTGGGCTCGCACAGCCGTTTAATTAAATCAATAATAAAGGGATAAATAAATCGACCGATTCCGAGCGGAGCGGATGATTTTCAGTTTCGCGATTTCGTGCGCTGGAACTTTGTTACACGATTCGATGATAATTAAACGGAACGCGCGGCAAACTCGATATTTCTCGATAATTCAACCTTGTTGTGATTAATTGACCGGTTGTTGCGGCCGGTGGAAACGTTTCTGTTAATTGTCGAATCCGCGAAACGTTCCCATCGAATGACTACTAGTTTTTGTTCAGCAGAATAGGAACTTGTCATGTGTTTTTCTCTTACCTGTGCATCTGCAAGGATGCGTCGCATCAAAGCCAAGGTGGGGTGCGTTGTGAGATCATCCTGGAGGGCAAGTACTTCACCTTCTTTGTTCAAACGGTTTAAGGTATTGAGGGCTGAAACAGAACACCCCCATTTCGTCATTACCGATTAGAATCAACAGACATCGTACGAAATGCGAACAAGTAAAATCTCACTGTGCACACGTATAAATTTCATGTGGATGATACGGAATGCTGGACTTTGTTAAGAGATCCATGTGAAATATGTGAAGCTGACAGGAGGTGGACGAGGGTACAGATTCTTAATTTTGCCACGGAACCGAACAACCCTTTCCCAGGCACGTCTGGCGAAATTGTCATCCGAGCTACGTCAGAGGATTCCTGACAATAACCTCCGGGTCGGATCGGAGACACTAGAGCCAGGATAATGCAGGATTCCAAGCTTCCCGTGCCGAGAAGATGGCCGTCGTCTTCCGGCTCGTTCATCTCGCATTACCTTAGTCGAAGTCGTTTGCTCCGACGGGATAATTGAATTCTCCGAGGTCGTGGCGCGAACGTGGAAAGGCCCGAGGGGTGCCAAACTGTTATCGACAAGTTCGTGAGAGGAGCTCGTTTCGGGTACACAAGCAGGCAGGCAGCCGGGCAGGCCGTCCTCTGATACATCGCCTCGGACTTTTGAGTGTGCTTTGACGAAGAACAACTTCCGACCGACGAGAAAATCGTTCGAGCTCGATTGGCTCGATGGGATAGATTTTCAAATGCGTTACCGATCACCCTTATTCTCAGATTTTATACTCTACCACCAACACCCCCTCCACCCTCTCCGCTCGTCTCTCGGCCGTTTCCTCGGCGAACGAAAGTTTCAAGTACTTAGCGTTTGGAAAGGTAAATGAAGAGAAGTCCGTTTTGACGTAATTTCGATAGTGGTTTGGTACTTTAAGGTACGCGGAACTTTCCGATTGAATCGAATCCAACCGGACGCGTGGAATTTTGGTCGAGACGAACTTGGAGATTTCAAACTTCCCACGATATCCACCAAAGGAATAGGCAATTCCCAAATGAATCGGGTATTTCATCACTGGACTTGTATATTTACGATCGAAGTCCTCTTATTAACAATAAACTGACTTTCCTTTGCACGCTGAGCCTCATCTCGCGGCGACGATTGCTTACGAGTTACGTCGACGGCGTAATTGCCAGTGTTCGCGTTCGGGCATAATTGCTCGAATTTGGAAATTAATTAAGCCCGAACGTGAGAGATTGCGCGCCGTGCGGTTGGCGCAACAAATTTCTTATCTCGTTGCTTAATTACCCGGGTCGTGCGCGAATAACTTCTTGATATAAGGATGTAACACTCTCGCATCGCGAGCGCCGGCATGAACTTCACGCAATTACGCTAGGAATTATTTGTTCCGTCGAGCTGCGAAACTAAATTACCAACAAGACTACTTCGCCTTAACAAATTGACACGACGATGATGCTTCCTCGTTTACAGAATTAAAAAATCCTGCGCTTCCTACAAACTATCCTGCCAATCAGAATATCAGATGAAAATTCGACTTTTATTTGACTATAAAGTAATGAGAATTAAACGTCTGGTCTCGTTAATAAAATGAAAACTGCTAGAAGACGTTTATAAATAATTCGTTGGCAGCGGATGATTTTACGTTTCCGCGGAGGCAAGGCGAACACCCGGTGTACGCATCGGCTTACGGTCAGGTACGCGCAAGTGTAAAGCACATAAAGGACTTGGGTAGACCTGGGCGACCCTTCCGGCTGGTATATAGGTCTACGTGCAAACACGCGAGCACGTTAAGTGCGCTTCCAGCACGAGGTCGCTAGGAGACTACCAGGCAACCGCGAAGGGGTTACCCGGATATATGGGATAGCCTGATATTGTGCGACTGTACAAAACCTGGTGGAATATTCTTTACGGACTTCTGCGTAAAATGGAACCCACTCGATGTGCCCATACGGGCGTAGAGAAGGCAGGAAATTGTCCGAGTCGAATATGAAACGAGTTTTTACAAATAGTATCTTCATATTCTGATCACAGTCGCATTTTATTTTCTACGAAATTCTTGTTAAATCGAACGAAATTAAGCAGGAAGATTAGTAGAGAGTCAGTAATCCAAGTCCGAACGGATGATTGCATAAGTTGCTCGAACGATAACAATTCATGATTTAAGGTAGCATTTTTATTGATTAAGCCAGTGGATATTTGCTAATAAATATTCGTGCATCCCCCACTTCGTTCGAATGATTCACCCTCTTCTAAAAGCCATCTACACGTATATTACGAGTCCCGAGGATGTCTTTCGAAGCCGGTTTACACCCGGTTATTGCGCTTTATGAAGTACTAACGACCAATCACCAAAAAAAGCCCCATGTGCATCCGCAGTAATCCCTGTACCATTTGTTTTTTCCCCCGCAGGGGAGACTCACCTTCCTCGAAGGGCTGCGCCCGTTTAGCGAATGCCCTCGAGAAAACACCCGCGCCGGGCGGCTTCGAGGCATCCACGCCGTTTTCTACGGCTGCACTCATTTTTCTGAGTGGGTCCTTCACGGAGCCTGTATTCCTGGACGGAATAAAGGGACCATCTAAAATTGACGTTACGTTCTACATCTCAGTTCTCCGATGTCCTGAGCTTTATTCCGAATCTCCGTTTCGTGGCGTTTCGCGTCTTCTCTCTGTACCGATCATGTTCAATGAGCGTGAGAGGCCCAAAGGATGGAACACGTTTTTATTCGAGGAAATAATTAGAATCGTGGGAAAATAGCTGACAGACGTGCAACAGTAACGGCTCAGCGTAAACAAGAGATCACAATTGATTACACAACGGTGAGAATGGAATTTCCCGTGAATCCTGCACTTTCACTCGACCATCAACGATCGTCGACGCAAACATAAAAACCATTTCCCATGCCGCGCCGTTCGCGAACAATGATAAACATTACGTAACGACGCGCGTTCATGCGTACGTGCATAACTGGCATACTTCGATGACAGTTTCTCTTTAATTAAATGTAGATCATTTGATCACGGCCGAGAGATTGCGAAGAATCGTCTCACAAACTGATACCGAGATTAAAAGCGGCAAAGGTTGAAATCCCGTGGATCATTGAGTCCCAAGCTCTCCCTTTATACGCCTTAAATTAATATAATACCGGCTCTATTCCGTTAACTGATGAAATACTCGCAATTATTCTGTGCATTCGGTATCTCACGGTAAACGATTTAAAGGCACCGAGAAGAATTTAACGAGATGACAGAGACAGGCTGTATTGATTCAGTACGCCGAACGAGAAAACAGAAATTTACTAACAGCGAAGTTGAGCGATTAAGAAGTTAAATCCCAGAAAATGAGACATAACCAGGTTTTGTATTGTATCGATTTAAGAAATAATGTACTTCGATTCTTCAAACGTTATCCTATACAATTTAATATCGACGCTTCGTGTCCTACTATGTGCGTTCTTTACACTCTCCCATTTAGACAATTTTGCTATAAATTAAAATTCGCAGTCTGTTTATGAGATACAGACAATTTGCATGTCAGGAATTTCTTGTCTTTGTGAAACTTTGCCAAGTATTGTTGCCCGGTAAGTTTTGAGGGCACTGCATCGTCTCCCTTACGAGCAGAGTCACCACGACGTATAAATCAACGCGGTAACTTGCACGGCGTGGATTTATTGAACGTGTCCCGTACCCCCCGTAATGATAAATTATGACGATCGAATATCGAGTTCCGGCGCGAGGGGGAAAAACCGTACGCACACGGTACCCTCGTAAAACAGGGGACCGTCAGCCTCGACGAATTTTTAGGGGCTGCCATCGCTATATATTCCTTGTCGAACTACTGCCCCGTAACGATATTACCTTACGACGAGACCGTAAACAAGAGTTATCCGAGCTCACAACGTTTTTGTTAATAAGTCCCGTAGATACTGGAGACACCAACACGATATCAAGTCGCCCTAATGTGCAAGCTTTCAGAATTTATATCAACATCGCCCTGGATTATGTTTCTCGTACATCATTCAAGATTCCCAAGTTAACAGAACCGCGGGAAAGTATTTTATTCTGAATACAGGACTTGGATATGAGAGAAACAGCCGCGCAATTTGATCCGCGAGGTGAAAAAACGAAAGGAAGATCTCGTTAAAAGATTCCATTTTCGAGGAAACAGCGAAAAGCTGACGCGGAACGTTTGTTCTAGCAGCAATCTTGCCTTTTCACCTTTCCGCACCGCGTCGGCGGAATGTGAATCACGACGTTGGATCCTTTCCTCTGTCAGAAGTTTCGGGATGGATGATAATTCTTGAAACAGAGGCACGGCCTTGATTTACGTGAAAGGGAAGCGAAAACTCGCGGAACGTAAACTTTGAAGCAATGGCTTTGCCGGTTTTCCAGCGATACTACCTACCGACCGACCACGTTACTGGGGGGATTTAAAATGTAAACTTGCCGCTCTGTCTATTTACGGAGCCCGTGTGAAGACTATCTAGGCAGGTTAACGAGATGCCTGGACCAATACGTATATTATTTTTTCTTATACTGTGGCCTGGACATGAAAATTCGTTTAGGTAATTGTTCTTAAAAAATCGTTGAGCCGGGCGTGGCTATGACAAATCGCAAACGTCGTAATTACGGGCATTGCGAAAATTCACATCGCTATAACCGAGCGGAATCTGGATGTTCCTATCTCAGAATAGGGTGGATAATGCCGGTGTAATTTGTATTTACGAGCCTCCAAAGAGCCATTGTGCAACGGATGCTCAATGGACCACACATCCTTTTAAAAGACGCGTCATCGATCGACCGACAAAGCCGAGAAGAAACGAGAGACGGCCAAAAGGAGGATTCCTATCCCGACACATAAGCCTCCTGCCCAGAAAATCCGTCCTCCTCGTTATCCAGACAACAATCTTTTATTATTCGCAGAATCTTGTTAATGGAAATAGGTTTTCTAGTTTGCTTAGAACATGATTCACACTAAGGTTTCGCGGGCAAGGTGATATCTAGGCTGACGAAACCTTGAGACGAGTCAGATTCCAATTAATACGATCAAACGAATTCTATACCGTTTCTCTTGTATACTAAATCTACTTCA